GGTCAGTATGACTGTGTACAGTGTGGTCAGTATGACTGTGTACAGTGTGGTCAGTATGACTGTGTACAGTGTGGTCAGTATGACTGTGTACGGTGTGGTCAGTATGACTGTGTACAGTGTGGTCAGTATGACTGTGTACAGTGTGGTCAGTATGACTGTGTACAGTGTGGTCAGTATGACTGTGTACAGTGTGGTCAGTATGACTGTGTACGGTGTGGTCAGTATGACTGTGTACAGTGTGGTCAGTATGACTGTGTACAGTGTGGTCAGTATGACTGTGTACAGTGTGGTCAGTATGACTGTGTACAGTGTGGTCAGTATGACTGTGTACAGTGTGGTCAGTATGACTGTGTACAGTGTGATCAGTATAACTGTGTACAGTGTGGTCAGTATGACTGTAGTGTGGTCAGTATGACTGTGTACAGTGTGGTCAGTATGAATCTGGCCAGAATATCTGTAGTCATAAAACTACCAGAATTCTGTGTGATGATATTGATACTGTGATACTGATACTGTGATGTTACTGATACTGTGTTATTGATACTGTGATGATATTGATACTGTGATACTGATACTGTGATGTTACTGATACTGTGTTATTGATACTGTGATGATATTGATACTGTGATACTGATACTGTGATGTTACTGATACTGTGATGTTATTGATACTGTGATGTTACTGATACTGTGATATTATTGATACTGTGATATTACTGATACTGTGATGATATTGATACTGTGATATTATTGATACTGTGATATTACTGATACTGTGATAGTATTGATACTGTGATATTATTGATACTGTGATGATATTGATACTGTGATATTATTGATACTGTGATATTATTGATACTGTGATATTATTGGTACTGTGATGTTATTGATACTGTGATATTATTGGTACTGTGATGTTATTGATACTGTGATATTATTGATACTGTGATGATATTGATACTGTGATGATATTGATACTGTGATATTATTGATACTGTGATGATATTGATACTGTGATGTTATTGATACTGTGATATTATTGATACTGTGATGATATTGATACTGTGATGATATTGATACTGTGATGATATTGATACTGTGATGATATTGATACTGTGATGATATTGATACTGTGATGATATTGATACTGTGATGATATTGATACTGTGATATTATTGATACTGTGATGATATTGATACTGTGATGTTATTGATACTGTGATATTATTGATACTGTGATGATATTGATACTGTGATGTTATTGATACTGTGATATTATTGATACTGTGATGATATTGATACTGTGATATTATTGATACTGTGATATTATTGATACTGTGATGATATTGATACCGTGATGGTATTGATACCGTGATGGTATTGATACAGTGATGGTATTAATACAGTGATGGTATTGATAATGATGGTATTGATACAGTGATGGTATTGATAATGATGGTATTGATACAGTGATGGTATTGATAATGATGGTATTGATACAGTGATGGTATTGATACCGTGATGGTATTGATACAGTGATGGTATTAATACAGTGATGGTATTGATAATGATGGTATTGATACAGTGATGGTATTGATAATGATGGTATTGATACAGTGATGGTATTGATAATGATGGTATTGATACAGTGATGGTATTGATACAGTGATGGTATTGATACAGTGATGGTATTGATACCGTGATGGTATTGATACAGTGATGGTATTAATACAGTGATGGTATTGATACCGTGATGGTATTGATACAGTGATGGTATTGATACAGTGATGGTATTGATAATGATGGTATTGATACAGTGATGGTATTGATACAGTGATGGTATTGATACAGTGATGGTATTGATACAGTGATGGTATTGATAATGATGGTATTGATACAGTGATGGTATTGATACAGTGATGGTATTGATACCGTGATGGTATTGATACAGTGATGGTATTAATACAGTGATGGTATTGATAATGATGGTATTGATACAGTGATGGTATTGATACCGTGATGGTATTGATACAGTGATGGTATTGATAATGATGGTATTGATACAGTGATGGTATTGATACAGTGATGGTATTGATACCGTGATGGTATTGATACAGTGATGGTATTAATACAGTGATGGTATTGATACCGTGATGGTATTGATACCGTGATGGTATTGATACAGTGATGGTATTGATACAGTGATGGTATTGATAATGATGGTATTGATACAGTGATGGTATTGATACAGTGATGGTATTGATAATGATGGTATTGATACAGTGATGGTATTGATACAGTGATGGTATTGATACAGTGATGGTATTGATAATGATGGTATTATACTGCAGTGATAATAAGAACAGATTCTAAACAACGTGTGTAGTTCTGGTCAGTTTCTTTAACGACTTAATACGCTATATTAATCAAAGATTGAGTTTTTAACTTCCATTCATATCCCCTTGTACCTGGTCCTTCCTGTGTAAAAATAAAATCTGTTATTATGTGTGTTTAAGCATGTGTAAGAGTGTAACATTGTGTAAGTGTGCATGTGTGTGTTAGAATGTGTGTGAGAAGGTTCCCTCCCACAATTCTCTCTTCCAAAGATAATATTGACCATAACTTTGAAATACCTGATGAAAAATGTTTCTTTAAAATGTTAACCTGTAAGTCGGCCTCTACTGAGTCATTTATTGATACCATTGATACCACAGACACTTCTGATACTAGGGATAATAATTTAACATATATACATACATGCAGACATATAAACAATATTCTTAACGAAAGCTTACCTGACATTGTAGAGCAGAAACAAGCAGTGTATATACCCTGCGGGGTGTATTTCTCTCAGCGTATATATGTTGAGAGTTTATTTACTCCGCGTTTTAGGGGTTAAAAGTATTCTTGTCTGGTGGTGAGAATGTTACCTGCGTCCTTAATAACCCTCGTGTAGTAGAGAGGCTTTAAACCCCATTAACCAGTCAAGCAGAAACAAGCAGAAATATTTTTCAAATATCATTGTGTCTGCTGTCATAATACTTCCCAGCAATAATATTTCTATTTAATTCTTCATTTTTAATAACGATATTTTTTCTGCCACAAACAACAATAAGATGGCAGGAAATACTTCTCCCCAGAATATTATTCCCTTTAAACGTGACTTTTATCCAGTTATTATTTTCGTCGTTAATTAATTCTTCTGACTTTTTAATACATAATAACCAGCGTTCAACAGTATATAAATACCGGTCTTCGGTATTTATATACTATATATATACCGGTTTTCGGTCTAGCTAGGGACCCTCCTCAGGGGTCCCTGGCCAGAGCCAAGTGCACAGGTAATAATTAGGTCTACTAGCAGTAAAACAAAAAAAAGTTGAGAACTGCAGCAGAGCCAATAAAAATCACAATACAAAATTAATCACTCAATAATTCGTAATAAAATATATATACTGCGAAGAAGCATTAAAACAATTCTATAAGGCTTGGGTACTTAACACTTCTACATTAATCCGTCGATAATATTTATAAGTGTCTTGGTTAGATATGACTGGTGTAGTGGACGCTGGAGTGTGAGGCCAACCCATACAATAATATTGCCGGATGTAACGTGGGAACGAACTGGAGATGCCTCTCTCTCTCTCTCTCTCTCTCTCTCTCTCTCTCTCTCTCTCTCTCTCTCTCTCTCGCTGTTTTTACAGCAGCAACAATAATCAGTATTAATAATAATCATAACAGTAGTCGTAGTAGTATTAGCAACAGGCAGTAGTAGTAATAGGTAAGAATTTGTATGAGAGTTGAAACGTTTCGTCTACGTGGTTGGCATCTTTAGTCATATACAGAGGAGAATGTATTTTTGGCGACTTTTGCACATCATGTGTCTGACTTAAAAACTTATTGGTATTTTATACCATTTTAAAGACACCTAAATGTCTTAAAGAGGAAACCCTGATAACAGACACCTAGCTGTCTTCACGAGGAAACTAATAACAGACACTTAGCTGTCTTCAAGAGGAAACTAATAACAGACACCTAGCTGTCTTCACGAGGAAACTAATAACAGACACCTAGCTGTCTTCAAGAGGAAACTAATAACAGACACCAAACTGTCTTCAAGTCTCTTGCAGATCAACCAGGCTGTGGTGCCTACGTTTTACTGCATGCAGCCAGCACCAACACTCATTCAGAAAGAGGCTTAGATTGGACCCCAGCCGCGGGGTCAGCGACCTCCAGACTACAGGCAGTAGCAACGTGTAGTAGTAGTAACAGTACTGATAGCACACAGTAATGATAACACTAGTCCTTCCATTACTGTGTTTCTTACATCTAAAAATTACTTCCCAGATTCTTGTTGTTATAGCTTCTGTCTCAATTTTACTTATTTCGAGTTTCTTTCCCTCACGAACTGTAAGAGAAGCTTTCACCCAGACGCACGTGGATCAATTAAACTGTTCCTACTGCCCGTCACACACACACACACATACAAACAAACAACAGGCCAAGTGCCCAATAACTACTACTACTACTACAACTACTACTACAACTACTACAACTACTACACACAAACTTGATCAGTAAAATTTTAACTTACAGAGAATAAAACTGTCTAAATCAGGAGGCAAAATTCTGACGTTAAAAGAATTATTTTCATACAAGCGACATTATATATATATATATATATATATATATATATATATATATATATATATATATATATATATATATATATATATATATATATATATACACACACACACAGATAGAAGCGAAAATATTTTAATGGAAAACAACACATTTTCTTGTGATAAGCACATACTGGCGGTAAACTTGATATTTTGGGAATGATCCGCAGTTTATCGTCACTGGTAAACACTTTCCTTCTCAATGAGGAATGTAAAAGCAGTAGATTAGTGGTTGTTAAAGTTACTGCTCTGTTAAGAGGTAGTGAAGTTTTAGCTGGATGACGAGGCCAGAAGTACACACGCACACATACACACACCTCCACTCTCTCTGGTGTTTGATACTCGACTGGCTGCTACTGGTGCCACACTAACCTGCACCCCCTTCCTCACTCACACCCAGTGCCCCCCACCACGTGTGTGTGTGTATGTGTACTTACCTATTTGTGGTTGGAGGGATCGATTCGCAGCTCCTGGCCCAGCCTCTTCCCTAGTCGCTACTAGGTCCACTCTCCCCCTCCTCCATGAGCTTTATCGTATATACAAATAACCCGCACATAAAAGAGAGAAGCTTACGACGACGTTTCGGTCCGACTTGGACCATTTACAAAGTCACAGTGTGACTTTGTAAATGATCCAAATCGGACCGAAACGTCGTCGTAAGTTTCTCTCTTTTATGTGCGGGTTATTTGTGTATCGTTCCAGTCACGGTATTGTGCCTTTTTGTTATTTATCGTATATCTTTTTAAAGCTACTTCACTTTCCAGATTGTTCCACTTCCTGACAACTTGTGACTGAAGAAATACTTCCCAACATTCCTGTGACTCATCTGAGTTTTCAACTAACATTGTGATACCTTGTTGCTGTGTCCCATCTCTGAAATATTCTGTCCCTATCCACCATGTCAGTTCTAATGAGTATTTTATATCTCCTTATCATAGCCCCCCCAATCCCTCCTATCCTCCAGTGTCGTCAGGTCGATTTCCCTTAACCTCTCCTCGTAGGACATGTCCCACAGCTCCGGGATTAGTCTTGTTGCAAACCTTTGCACTTTCTCTAATTTCTTGAGGTGCTTGACCATGTGTAGATTCCATGCCGGTGCTGCGTACTCCAATATATGCCTGACGTACTCGGTGTACAGTCTTGAACGATTCTTTACCTAGGTGTCAAAACGTTTTTCTTAGGTTTGCTAGGCGCCCATATGCTGCAGCAGTTATTTGGTTACTGTGCGCCTCAGGAGATGTGCTCGATATTATACTCACCCCAAGATCCTTTTCCTTGAGTAAAGTTTTCAGTCTTTGACTCCCCTAGCCTGTACTCTGTCTGCAGTCTTTTTTGATCTTCCCCAATCTTCATGACTTTGCATTTAGTGGGGTTAAACTCCAGGAGCCAGTTGTTGGACCAGGCTTCCAGCCTGTCCAGGTCGCTTTATAGTCCTGCCTGATCCTCATCCACTTGAATTCTCCACATTACCTTCACATCGTCTGCAAACAGGAACACCTCTGATTCTATCCCTTCCGCCATGTCATTCACATATACCAGAAACAGCACTGGCCCTAGGACTGACGTTTGTGGGACCTCACTCGTTATAGGCGCCCACTCTGACACCTCGTCACATACCATCACTCGTTGTTTCCTTCCTGTCACGTATTTTCTGATCCATTACAGTGCCTTTCCTGTTATTCCTGCCTGCCCCTCTAGCTTTTGCACTAATCTCTTGTGCAAAACTGTGTCAGAAGCCTTCTTGCAGTCCAAGAAAATACAGTCTACCCATCCCTTTCTCTCCTTTACTTCTGTCACCTTATCGTAAAGCTCCAGTTGGTCTGTGACACACGATTTCCCCTCCCTGAAACCGTGCTGGTTATCGTGTATAAGCTCATTCCTTTCTAGGTGCTCCACTCTTTTCCTGATAAGCTTCTCTATGACTTTGCATACACTGTATGTCAGTGACACTGGTCTGTAGTTTAATGCCACCTGCCTGTGTGTGTGTGTCTGCCAATTTAGGGTCACTAGGAATCTAGGACAGACATTTTTCATTCTCCATTGCGTTTGAGCATTTGTCGGGATTTTAATAGAAAGTTTTGGTTAGTGTCCCACCCTGTAGTGTGCTCATGTATATATATATATATGTGGACTGGTCATTCAAGAAGTCTAGCATTTTGGTGTTGTAGTCACTGGACTTGAGTAAGACGATTCCGCTTCTCTTGTCCGGTGTGTTAACGAAAATGCTGGTTTTTTTTAGGGACGTTTCAAAGGGCAGGGATGTGAAGTCTTTAAAGATTAGTGAGTATGTCCTGTAAATAACCTTTCTGAAAGTCAGTCACTGTGCCGGTGAGTTCCTAGGGATCAAGTTTAGTTGGTTTGGTTTGCTTAGGTTCATGACAATTTGTGTAACTGTATGTGTTTGTACCTGTACCTAAATGAACATGATTATGATGAATTTGAGTCCTATGATCAGTGCTTGTTTCTCGTAGTGGGTTAGGATGTGTAACTCTTAAGTTAACAATCAAGATTTGTCAGGAAACAGGACAAGTGTTTCCTGACGCGGGTCTTGGTCATATGATGATCCGCAGCTGGAGTTATTAGTCATCTGACCGAGGCCTTCCACTGGCTTACTGGTCCACCCCTTTAAAAATTATGGTTATAATTGATATAATCAAGGCTTCTCGATCTATCTCTTTCCATCGGTTGTCGGTGCACAAGAACTAAATTTGTGGTTGATTAACCTGAAAGTGGTGACTGTTGAGAATGTGCTCAGCGGTGCGGTGGTTGTGTGGAGATTGACTCTCACATCCCTGCCACTTTCGAAGGAATCTTTGGCCATGTTAGAGAACTACTAAGATTGGTTAGTGGGAGAAAAGGATTCTTCCCAGCTACCCGGCCATAACCTGACCACCACCACCACAACCTGATCGCCACCACCACAACCTGACCACCACCACAACCTGATCGCCACCACCACAACCTGACCACCACCACCACAACCTGATCGCCACCGCCACAACCTGACCACCACCACCACAACCTGACCACCATTACCACAACCTAATTACCACCACCACAACCTGACCACTACCACCATAACCTGACCACCACAACCTGACCACCACCACCACAACGTGACCACCATTACCACAACCTAATCACCACCACCACAACCTGACCACTACCACCATAACCTGACCACCACAACCTGACCACCACCACAATAACCTGACCACCACCATCACAACCTGATCACCACCACCACAACCTGACCACCACCACCACAACCTGACCAACACCACCACAACCTGACCACCACCACCACCACAACCTGACCACCACCACCACAACCTGATCACCACCACCACAACCTGATCACCACCACCACAACCTGACCACCACCACCACAACCTGACCACCACTACCACAACCTAATCACCACCACCACAACTTGATCACCACCACCACAACCTGACCAACACCACCACAACCTGACCAACACCACCACAACCTGACCACTGCCACCATAACCTGACCACCACAACCTGATCACCACCACCACGACCTGACTACCACCACCACAACCTGACCACCACCACCACCACAATTGACCACAACCACCACACCACCATCACCACCACCGCCACGATTGACCACCACCACCACACCATGACCACCACTGCCACAGTTGACCACCACCACACCATGACCAACACCACCACAATTGGTCACAACCATCACACCATGACCACCACCACCATAATTCGCCACCATCACCACCACCACACCATCATCAGCACCGCCACAGTTGACCACCACACCACCACCACAGTTGACCACCACCACACCATCACCACCACCACACCATCATCAGCACCGCCACAGTTGACCACCACACCACCACAGTTCACCACCACCACACCATGGCCACCACCACCACACTATGACCACCACAAGAGCAGACAAGACCTACCTGGGAACAGCGTGGTCCGTGGTAGGGCGGTACACAGATGACCTTGAGATGATAGTTGAGGGTGGTGTGGGTGTTAGCGTGGGCGTAATGCACCCACTCTCCACCACCCTCCACCCGGTGATGACCCACGTAGCGAGCTATCAGCTGTCCCACTCGATCTGATAATTAATACAGGAAATATAGATCCTTCAACTTTGTTAGGTACTGTTTTTAATTCCTGCCATCATGGGCCCCCCTGCCATCATGGGGCTCCGTGCCATCATGGGCCCCCGTGCCATCATGGCAGGCCCTCCGCACCATGATGGCAGGCCCCCCGCACCATGATGGCAGGCCCCCCGTGCCATCATGGCAGGCTCCTCGTGCCATCATGGCAGGTCCCTCGTGCCATCATGGCAGGTCCCCCGTGTCATCATGACCTTCTGAACTGTAAAAAAAAAATATATGTATTGGAATAAGAATTATTAAGGAACGCATAGAGAAGTGTATCGTGAATTTAAGTGTAAGTTGGCAAGACTGGTGGATCATCTTACAGTGAGGCAGACATCCTCTCTATTATTTTATTCTCTTAATAACGTTGGCCACCAGACGTCTCTGTAAAGATATATTAAGAAAGTTGAATTTCACGCCATTGTAGAGTAGGAGTGTCAAAGACTTTCTCACAGTATATAATAATAATAATAATAATAATAATAATAATAATAATAATAATGTGCCTCACGGTAGAGTGGAATTTAACTTTAGTATACATAGCATTTAATGTAAATATGACAGATTCTGTGAAATTATAAGTCATTAAGGCAACTGTTATAGGAAGAGACAAGGACCAGAAGCTGGAGCTCACGCTTTATAAAAAGCAACTGAGTACATCTAAGTGCGTACCACTATGTGAGTACAGCTAAGAGTACCACTGAGTACAGCTAGGTAAGTATACTCACCCGTTCTTTTTATAGGCTGTAATTTGAAGAGTCGTCCTGTGACATCATGCCAGGCCTCCACGATCAACTTAAACCTCACCTGAAACACAAATTATTATTACTCTTCTTCTTATTTTTTATTATTACCATTTGTGCCATTTTTGTTGTGTTCGTAGCCTTGATTTTGCATTATTATTATTATTATTATTATTATTATTATTATTATTATTATTATTATTGTTATTATTATTACTATTACTCTTATTATTATTATTATTATTATTATTATTATTATTATTATTATTACTACTACTACTACTACATATTATTATTATTATTATTATTATTATTATTATTATTATTATTATTATTATTATTATTATTATTATTATTATTATTATTATTATAGGTATGTTTTATTGTAATGTTTAGATAATTTTTCAAAGAATATTGCTTTTATGGCAAGTACTGTCTATATGTTT